TCATCATCTGCCGCGAGGCGCTCGCGGACTGCCCCTCGTGTGCGCCCGCGCTGGGGGCGCTCGCACAGTACCTGCTAGACCTCGCCTGCCTCCTCTGGGCCGCGGCGGCGGCCGCGAAGCAGGGCGGCCCCGCGTGCGAGGCCGAGGCCGGCGGCATCGCGGCGCGCGCGCGCGACGCGGCGTCCAAGGCGCTCGAGGTGCTGTCCAAGGCGGCCGTGGCGGACCCGATGCGGCGGCAGTTCTTGCGGCACAGAGTCGCAGAGGTCGAGGCGCTCATTGCGGAGCTGGCCAAGGAGTGAGGGGCGTGAGACACGCAGCGGCTGGGTTGGGCGCAGCACATGGTTTCATGGTGGATGTTTCTTAGGCATGCGCTTGAGTCTTGCGTGGCGGCTGTATACTGGTTCAAGTTCACCTGGTGATTTTTGGCAAGGCTCGCACGGCGGTGTGGGGCTGTCATGTTGGCTGATTCCCCGCAAGGGCGCCGACGCCGACGCGCATGACGCCTGCGGGCTCTTGCAAGCTGTTGTCTGCAGTTTACCGTCAGTAGCGGTGTGCTGCCACGTCAGCACACCACTGGGCAGGCCTGCCTTGCCAGTGTGCCAGGCTTTTCAGCATCGGCCGCCCTGACGGCATGAAGCGCGACTAATTCAGGCGCCTGTGATTAAGGATGAGTAAGTGGTGATGCGTCCAGTCGGTTTTGATGCAGGCTGCTCTAGATGACAAGGCTTGCATTGGCCAGGGTCGGCAGGGGTTTCGGAATGATGGTCGCGTGCGTGCCTGGCGTGGCGCAAGGCACGAATCGCAAGGGGTTTGGGAGTGATCAGTCCGCCGCCCGCCCCCCCCCTTTGAGCGGGACTGAGTGATGCCACCACTTGTGCAACACCACCTTACGACGTTCCTTGTTCCTTGCATCTCCTCAAAGCAATGACCCTGGGGTGTTCTTGCCGCGCGTGTTTCCCTTGACCTTTGGTCAGTGATCACACGATCTGGTTGGTGCCAGCATCTTATCGACGCTGTATGTAGCGATGAAAGCTTCTTTGTACAATGCGCTGTGCAAGACGGGCGTGAGGCGCTCAAAACAACGGCAGTCACTACAGAGGACACCGCGTTCTCACTATGCCTTGATCGCACACCTTTGCATGCATGCAGAGTGAACGAATATACCCATCAAGTGCCGTTTGATTCGGCCGCGTCTCTAGCTGCGTTCAGCAGGCCTTCAAAGCGTCCCACGCGAGACCCACCAGCGTCTTCACGCGCGGGCTGCGGGCAAGAGCATTGTGCCACAGGCATCATCGATCGATACAGAATGCCATCTTTCAAGCAAGAGCACGCGCTGGGTGCGTCGCTGCATCGACCTGCGCGCCTGAGTCCCTGGGCCTCAGCGGACAGTTGCGACAGCTGTATGATGTGCGCTAGCGGCTCTTGAGGCGTCCGGCAGCGCTGCAGAGCCTGCCGCTCGAACCACGCCACCCCGCCCCGTCGCTCTCGGATTGCTTGCCCCGCTGGCCGCCTGCTTTCCGTCGGGACGGCGCTCAAGCTGCTCCCTCGCACGTCCCCTTGGCTCCGCTGTACTTGCACAAACAGAGAAGCGGCAGGCCGAGGCCGCGCGCATCCGCGAGAAGTACCCCGACCGCATCCCTGTGAGTCTGCCCTCTACACCAGGGGCGGGCCCCCTGCCGGAGCGCTGCGCCGGTGCCTGTGAGCTGCCTCTTGCGTCCGCCTTTCCTTTGCACCTGATCTCACCTAATCTAGACACAATCTGATTCTAACCAGGTCATCGTGGAGAAGGCGGAGAAGTCAGATATCCCCGACATTGACAAGAAAAAGTATCTGGTGAGGGCACGGGCTCCAGATCGGAGACGCGCCAGATCCCCTGGTCGGGCGCCCGATGGCCCCCTCGACTTGCGCAGCGGCCGGCAGCCACGACCTCCACCAGCCACGCGATTGTGAGGCAGTGCCGCATGGCCGCGACCTGCGCCCGGGCGACGCCGGGTGCTGCCGACGGCGCCGGCGAGCGCTGCCGGACCCCGTCCAACGCGTCAGTTGTCCCCTTGCATTCTCACAGACACAGTTCCCGTCGAACTGGTCTTGCGACCCCACGCACGTGCTCCTCCCGGTCAACCCACTCCCTTTCCACACCACCCCACCCCACCCGACCCCACTCCACCCCCTACACCAGGTGCCCGCCGACCTGACAGTGGGCCAGTTTGTGTACGTCATCCGCAAGCGCATCAAGCTCAGCCCAGAGAAGGCCATCTTCATTTTCATCAAAAACGTGCTGCCGCCCACTGGTGGGTCTCCCCGTCTGGCCCTCTGTCGCCGCATTTGCTCCCTGTGCGCGCGCAGCCAGCCGCAGCCGCAGCCCAGCAGCTGGGCTCCCAGAAGGCCGGCCCCGACACGCGCCCCGCGCCCGTGCCCTGCGCCCCGGCGCCGGCACCCGCCTCACCACCAACCGCGCAGCGCTCACGCCTGCGCCCAACCCGACCGGAGCCGACCCCCCCTCTCCCCCACCCTCAACCCCCCAGCTGCGCTGATGTCATCCGTCTATGAGGACCATAAGGACGAGGACGGATTCCTCTACATCACATACAGCGGAGAGAACACGTTCGGCGGCGGCGGCGAGGGGGCCGCGCCGGCAGCAGAGGAGGGGGCGCTCTCGGAGGAGCAGGGCGGCCGCGCGTGCGCCTGCGCCTGCGGCGCCAGCTGCTCCTGCGGCGCTGGCTGCCACTGCGGGCGGTAGGGCGGCGGACTCAGTCCTAAGGCTTGAGGGCGGCCGCCCGATGCTGTGGGCGCGGGCGGCGCCCCGGGCGCCGTCCTATGTACTTGTTTGTGTATACGTTGACGCAGCATGCGCACTCCTGCCACACTGAATACGGGCAGCCACGTGCAGGCGGCGCAGCTGCCGGCGCCCCAACTGTGGGCATGTGCGTGCACCCGCTTCGCATAAGCGCGGAGCCCGCTGCTGCTGCTGCTGCTGCAGCCCCGCGGCGGCGGCTTTGCGGCCGTCCGCAGCCGCCCCGCCACAGGTCTATAACTCAAGACGTCGCATGCCCCCTTTGCCAACACTTTCCCCAGCCGGTCGCGGCCCTTCATCTGCGCCACCAACAGATTTGCGAATTTTGCCTGCGCTGCCAGATTTTGCGCCGGCCTTTGGACAGGGCCTCACAAGGCTTGGCATATGGGGTCGTGCGGCCGCCGGTCGCATGTGGAGCCAGCACAGCGCGCACAGCATCTTGCGCGCATGCGCGCGTGCGGTGGCGGCTGGTGCAGCTCAACCACGCCGCCGGGGGCTTTGCACCTGCGTGTGCAGAGAGGCTGGCTGCGCCTTATGAACCCCGCCTGCCTCCCCGCAACTGGCGACGCCCTGTGCCTGCACCAGCTGGCTGTATAACCATCACTCGTGTAAGGACCAACACTATCGGCCCTTTTTTAATGCCGCATTAGCTCCACACACCAACAGCACGGACAGGAGAAAGCCAGCCATGCCGAGCCAGCCGGAAGTACAACGGGCGCCTTGGCCGCTGCGGTCACATGGCTGACAATCATGAGGCCAATTGTGACGACGCCGGTCCAGGTGGCGACGTCGCCCGCAAAGGCCGTGAAGTCAGAGGGCGATGGGTACAGCAGGCGCATGTGGTCACAGCGGCGCAAACAGCCCAGCGTTGCCGAGCGAGTACCTCTCTAGAAACTTCCTGTTAGCGCTCACCGGCCGGCCGCCGCCCCTGCCGCTGCCGCTGCCGCGCTCCGGCGCGCCGCGGGCGCCCAGCGCGCCCGGCGGCGCACGGCCGCCCGCAATGCCGGCCCGGGCCGTGTTGGCCGCGGGGACGGCCGCCACTGCGGCCGTGGCTGCGGCGGCCGCCTCTGCGGCGCGGCGGG